GTACACTGTAATTTTATAAAGTGAAGTTTTCTCATAACCTTTTTAATGCCATGCTCAGTGATAGTCCTGTAAACTGCATCATCGTACCACCTGCAACTGTTTTTGAAAGATCATTTTCTACTTATAAACTTCTGTTTGGGTTCAACACTATTCTTCCTGGGAAATTAACTCCAAAATGTAGTACAACAATACAGCTGCAGATCCCGGAACCAATTATTTTCTTGCTCAGTTCTTGCAAGTTAAACAAACACTACAGTGACATGCAGGACTGCCTCCTAATTTGGCAGTAATACTCCTGTAAGCTTTCATGTTCGACAGTCATCCATCTCACAATACTGTAATGCTTGCCCAGTCTCCTGCTCCCTCTAAATTCTCCAAACCTGGACTGGCTCTTTGACTCATCTTTTTTTTTAAGAGACAACTTCCATTAGTCGGCCCTGCTCATTACATATTTTGGACAAATGAAATTTCTGGATCACTGTCTGTCCCGTAGAGTAAGTCATGTGTTTTCTTTGTACTCTTTTACAGACTCTTCACAAAGGGCCTATGGCCGCCTTTTTGATGCAAACTAAAGATAACCCCATGAAAGCCTTAGGAGTGCTAGCTGGTGTCATGGGCATAATGGTGCTGATAACTATCATGATCTCTACTGCCATGTTCTGGCGCAATAAGCGGTCCAACAAAATCATGCCGGTGAGAAGGATCATAAAAAAGAGACAGACCCCGCAGTCCCGGACAGTCAGGATGGAGTGGCTGAAGTTCAAGAGGCCCAGCAATGCTGCAGAGAAGTTTGTAGTTGAGGATGATGCCAAGAGCCTACACAACGAGAACAGCAACAACAACATCCAGGTTGCCCACATGCCGCCAACTGCACCCTCGCCCCCGCCGCCCCCCGCCCTGGCTCCCAGAGGGGACACCCCGGGCTGGCGGGTGCCACGTGTCCGGCGTAACAATGGTGATCTCCACCATCATGTACTGGAAAAGTGTGAAAAGATCCAAGCTCCACCCGCAGGGCAAAATCCGCAAAATTATACGGGGACCTCCGAGACGCACAGTGTGCTAAGCTGTAAAAAGTGAATTGGCCATTCATTTGTCCTTAATATGCCATATGTAGCTTACGTTATTTATTGCTTATTTCTTTGATTTCTAAAAACAAAGCTCTTTAGCTCTACTCATGTCCCCTACCTCAAAGAGTTTTGTTGTGTCTGTAAAAGAGTACTTGAAAACAGAATGCAGCTCATACCTGCTAACTACTCATGTGTACACTGTAATTTTATAAAGTGAAGTTTTCTCATAACCTTTTTAATGCCATGCTCAGTGATAGTCCTGTAAACTGCATCATCGTACCACCTGCAACTGTTTTTGAAAGATCATTTTCTACTTATAAACTTCTGTTTGGGTTCAACACTATTCTTCCTGGGAAATTAACTCCAAAATGTAGTACAACAATACAGCTGCAGATCCCGGAACCAATTATTTTCTTGCTCAGTTCTTGCAAGTTAAACAAACACTACAGTGACATGCAGGACTGCCTCCTAATTTGGCAGTAATACTCCTGTAAGCTTTCATGTTCGACAGTCATCCATCTCACAATACTGTAATGCTTGCCCAGTCTCCTGCTCCCTCTAAATTCTCCAAACCTGGACTGGCTCTTTGACTCATCTTTTTTTTTAAGAGACAACTTCCATTAGTCGGCCCTGCTCATTACATATTTTGGACAAATGAAATTTCTGGATCACTGTCTGTCCCGTAGAGTAAGTCATGTGTTTTCTTTGTACTCTTTTACAGACTCTTCACAAAGGGCCTATGGCCGCCTTTTTGATGCAAACTAAAGATAACCCCATGAAAGCCTTAGGAGTGCTAGCTGGTGTCATGGGCATAATGGTGCTGATAACTATCATGATCTCTACTGCCATGTTCTGGCGCAATAAGCGGTCCAACAAAATCATGCCGGTGAGAAGGATCATAAAAAAGAGACAGACCCCGCAGTCCCGGACAGTCAGGATGGAGTGGCTGAAGTTCAAGAGGCCCAGCAATGCTGCAGAGAAGTTTGTAGTTGAGGATGATGCCAAGAGCCTACACAACGAGAACAGCAACAACAACATCCAGGTTGCCCACATGCCGCCAACTGCACCCTCGCCCCCGCCGCCCCCCGCCCTGGCTCCCAGAGGGGACACCCCGGGCTGGCGGGTGCCAACCGTGTCCGGCTCCCTCACTCCCAAGTTTATAAACAAGCAGCTGAAGAAAAGAGGTCATGGCAGCGCCCACAACGCCCTCGTGTCAGAGCTCAAAATGAAGTTTGAGAAGAGGAATGCAGCTATCGGTGAGCCTCACATCTAGGCGCTCTTGGAAGCCCCCAGAGACTGTGGATCGTGGCTATGCGTGGATACATTTATGTGCTGTGGTCTTCCCCGTGTCTGTCAGCACCCTGTGAACTGAGACCAGCTTCTCGCTGTGATAGCCACCCCTCACCTTCTGCAAGTATTATGTGCTATGGAGTCACCCCACCCATAGCAAACGCTGTGGTCCATGTCCAGTTGCCACTGCAGTTCTTTCGGCTCGTGTCCCAGTCCCTCCCTGCAGCTGCCCAAGCAGGGTGCTGAGTTACCCTCATGCCAGCCACAGTCTCCCCAGGTGAACGGGCATTCAGGTTGTCCCCATTTTGAAGGTCCCTAGCCAGAGTCCTGGTTTTAAAACAAAGCGCTCTGCAGCCAAGGCACTGGAGGATGCCACTACTGACCCGGACTGGCAGGTGGGTTTGAGGTGTCCAAAAACCCACCGCTTCAAATCCCAGACCCACTTTTGAAGACGTTGGCCTGGCTGTGGCACCAGCAATGCATCTATGTGCAGGTCTGCTACAGCAGCAAGACTGCATGCTGCAAGAGGGCAAGAACGTAGCTGGTACCTGCTGTCCTCGGTGGTACCTCCTGTCCTCAGGGCATGACGCGCTTTGCAAGAGCCGGCGGAGCAATGTGCTCATGGCCTGAGTACCTTCATCCCCGAAAGGTAAGCGGGCAGGCTTGGAGAAGTTCTTCATTTTCCTGCAGCTTATGCTGGGTTTTGCCAGAGTACGTTGACATGATGTTGCGCTTCGCTTCTGCCCTCAACTTGTTTTGCTAATCAGGGCGCGGGGGGCCACCCCAGCCTTCCCCAGGCTGCCGGGGGCAAGATCTGAGCGCAGAAGTTCAATACCAGCGCCCGCTCGACACTGCCGCCTTCTGACACTGCAGCCCCTAATGAGGGGGAGGCCAGCAGGAGGAGGCCATAATTAAAGCAGCAGCAAAGACGAGGTAAAACTGAGTGAAAAATGATAAGTGAAAAAATATAGACAAGTGCTGGAAAGTCACATATGTTGGTCAGGGAAGTGTCTAGAGAGATCATTTGGTTTTCTAGTGTGGAGGAATGTATTTCATCACTTCCTCTGGGTTGCTTCAGGCACTGGTGAGTGCAAAAGGAGGTTTCCATAAAATATTCTGGTTTGTCCTATCAGTATTTTTGAATGAATTA